GGCCAGTTGCACGTATTTATTTTTTGAACAGAAAAATACAGCCAACAGCCAAAAAACTTGGAAAAGTTGGTATGTCCATGTATATATTAAGAGGCTCCACATGGTCGTCATTATTCGGAGAGGAGAGTCTAGTAGTGGTCATAATATTAATGCAAATGGGAAAAATGTGCCCTTAAAGCGTAAACCGTTTTATAAAGCGAAACGATAATAAATGGTCTGGCCTTTTAAGGTCTGATTCCTCCAGCAGTGAACAATCGGCGCTTTTACTTTTTTACACCTAAATTTAACGAGCTGGTAATTGTATAGTGTTCATCCCTTAAGAATTTGAGGTTTTGCGGTGAAAATTAAATTAATGGCGATAGCTCACCAAATAAATGGGTTTAGACACGATTTTATATTTGACTTAAAAAACGTACGTATTTACGTCCTTCAAAGTCTTTTAGGAATTTAGAAAGATTTTAACATATGGATTTTTAAAGACGAAGTAAATAAGAAAAAACTTATCTCTCCGGTTTCGTTCCATTCTTCTCCAGCATGGTTATTATTATGGTTCATTCAACTAAATAAATTAAGTTTGTAATCACTTTGTTGCTTTGTCAAGTGTGTAACATGCTGAAATTATGCATGAATTGAGTCTTGAGTCAGATTTTATAAATTTTGTGAACCTAGCCAAACAAACTTGAAATAGGTATCAGATTTCCACTCGAGTAGCATTTTGACATTTAATGTTTCCAGTTAATGTGACAACTACAATGCAAAGCAAACAGAATAACGCAACACGCGACACTTTTGGTTTCCCTTTTCCCTTACATTCATCTCCTCCTCAGTGCTCAAATTTCTCGAGCTGTCCGTAATCAAGTCTGGCCAAAAACCACAATGTGGTTATCACAGGCTGGAAAGTTTACTTGAGACTCAAACTTGAAATTTCCGAGCAACTTTAGCACAGCATTTCTACGTGAAGGTTTTTGATGATAAATAAGCTCACATATAGCAAAATATATTGCTCACATTCCTCACAAACAAAGCTCTACTCTGTATTTATAGCGTGGTTCAGTAAACTGACTCTGACTTAAAAAATGTGTATTATAATGCGAACAGGATAAAAATCTCCTTGATCCCGAATGCTTATTATTATTTACAGTATTTTTAAGCTGTCATTTATTTATGAACATTTTAGGTACCTACATCTGCACATCGGAGGTGACAATAGATTGCCATCCAAACCAAAACACATCACCTGCCTGGCATACATACCTTTATGGCTGGGAGTCTTATTATAACTCCCCTCCAGCAGTTGCCTTCGAGTTCAGTTCAGATTTCTTTTTTAGCTACAAAGGATTGTTGCCTGACTCAATTCATAAAAGATTTTTGGGTATTGGGCGCGATGAGTGCATTTTATAATGCTCAGTTGGTAATAGAAGAATGAGTAATTTGAGCTTGTTCCTTCATACGTATTACCAAATCAGAGCAGACAGTAGTCGATGCCAGCAGTAACCAAACCTCCCTCTTCTGTATTCAATGTGTGTGATTGAATCTTGTGAAATATGAAATTTGAACATGAATCCGAACTTTTTTGACGGGTGGATAAAAAGAGTACATTGAATGTTAATCATAATCTCGTAAAAATGATTTGAAAACATAATGAGGAATGTCGAACTTGGTCAGAATCATTTCTGCCGTGGTTGTCCAAATGGACCTTTTTGTACCAGATTATTAGAGGATGCCTATTATTACATGTACACATGAGCTGGAAAATTGAGTTTTAATCAATGGGAGAATTTAGAGCATATGCACATCATAAACAGAATTAACATGGTAAATATTACTGTATAATTAAATTAGTTGCATTAATGTGAAAATAAAACTGTTCAAATAATAGCCACCAAATATAGGAAAATAAAGATTGCGAATATGTATTTCATATCGAATTTCCCTGCAGAATTTATTCGCACATTTTAAAACTTTATGCAGCTAATCAACATGCATTCGGGCAGGATATAAATGAAGTGATTATTGAGCCGTGTATAATTTTCATCCTGTGCATCATACTCCCATTCACGATCAGAGACAGAGGGGTGCGTCTGGTCAGACTTGCTTAAATAAAACATTAATTCCACCTCGTTGCCTGTCACTTCCACTTCACCTTTGAGGCTCACAAGGGAACCTCAACTACTGTCCCATCTCGATTTCCTTCGGAATAGCCTTAATCGATAGATAATTTAGTGAAACTAAACCTTTGTCATAGAACATGCGGTGCAAAATCACGTTTTCGCGAAATATTTGGCGAGAGCTGCACCAAAACCTGCCATTTTCCCTATGCTATTAACATAGCCACCAGCCTTTCGAATGATGAAATGAACTTTATGGAGTATTGAAAAATTATGCATGTACCCGTCCGCGTAATTTCAGCCCAATCACGAATATGCAAAAAGTGATGCAAACATTTGCCAATTTTTTTGCAAATTGCGAAAATCGGAAAAATTTCGCAAATTTGAAGTCTTCGTTCCTTTAAATGCAACAGCATTTACAAAGTTTAACCAATGTAAAATACAATTTTCTTATTGCAAAAATTTTCAAAAATAAATATCTCAAATAATTTCGAAAAATACGTAAAAATTAACTAGCATTGTTTATTTTAACTAACTTTCATGAAAAATTGCGAACTTCAATTTTTGCAAATTTTTGCAAATTTTTTGCAATAAGAAAATTGTATTTTACATTGGTTAAACTTTGTAAATTCTGTTGCATTTAAAGGAACGGAGACTTCAAATTTGCGAAATTTTTCCGATTTTCGCAATTTGCAAAAAAATTGGCAAATGTTTGCATCACTTTTTGCATATTCGTGATCGGGCTGAAATTACGCGGACGGGTACATGCATAATTTTTCAATACTCCATAAAGTTCATTTCATCATTCGAAAGGCTGGTGGCTATGTTAATAGCATAGGGAAAATGGCAGGTTTTGGTGCAGCTCTCGCCAAATATTTCGCGAAAACGTGATTTTGCACCGCATGTTCTATGACAAAGTTTTAGTTTCACTAAATTATCTATCGATTAAGGCTATTCCGAAGGAAATCGAGATGGGACAGTAGTTGAGGTTCCCTTGTCAGCCTTTGAAATGAAAATAATTAATTTTAAATTCTTTGCACAAAACTGTAAGCCTGTGATCACATGCGTGCGTATGTACATATAAACCCGTGATAGAAGAAGTTTAAAAACGAATTTAGCCTCCAGGAATTTTGCAATTGAATACAGAACCACTTTACAATCTCAAGATTATCTCTATCCACTCTGACAATTACAATTACACAAAAGCCTCCATTACCACTGGCATTAGTCGTGGTGAAGAGTGTGGCTGGCGTAGATTAAGCAGATGCATTGCTATTTAATTCCTATTTTTCATTCCCTGCCATTATGTATGATTCACCCAATATTTGACTTGCAAGGAGGTGAGTAATAATGACTGCGATAGAGATAAATTACTCTGTGCGGTTGGTTCAGGTCGACTTGGTGGAAATCGAGCTGGTTGTCGTAATGAAAACAAAATGTGGAAGGTAGTTCTGGCTGGAAGGCTTGCATAAGAAGCGTAAGAGACTGGATTTCATTGTACAATTCATATTTTGCTTTCCTTTTGTATATTTGTGACTCTGAACTGGTTTTACTTATTTTATTTCACAGATGGGACTCCGTACTTGACGCGGCTTGTGGTTTCATTTCGTTCTTCGGCTGGTAAAATTTGTAACAATTCTTCACAATGAAGATGATGGTACTTGACTTTAAAAACTGGATGTTTGCTCTTACAACCATGTGGCGTTGGTTGGTACTTGTTATTATTATTTCAGCAGAGCCTGCTTATTAAACTAATCGGGTTTCAATACTTGAGGTATGAATCATGAATGACGATCAATGATACTTTGGTCATTATCCTCGGAAGTATAATAAGTTATTTGTACTTGGAAATTTTAAGTCCTTTGTTTCCTAAAATGCTTTTGTGAAATATTTAAAATACGGGCGAAAAAGTGAAGTGGGTGCGGAAACCACTTCACATCCCTTGATATTTCAAAAACAACATCACGCTCTCGTAATAAAACTGTGGTTTCTTCCTGGCCCAGGAAGACCGATATAATTAATTAGAATTAGAAATACTTATTATTACAACAACTTTACTGGAATAGGAAGCAAGCACGATTTTTAAAGAGGAAATATTACTCTGAATAATAATTGTGAGCTGGGCATTTCACTTTCCTCTTCATTCTTGAACTTTGTCATAATTTCTCGTTGGGAGGTCTCTCGAGGCTGCGTTTCGCTTTCGTCTACTTCACCCCGTTCATTTACAATCTGGACTCGAATTTAGTATTTATTTACCAACCAACCAACTCTCCGAGCTGCTTTTACTTACTTATTCACATACACACACAAAGCTTTATCCTGGGTCATGTTGATTCAACTATAGCACTCACATGATGATCATCTCTCGTATGTGTAACGACATGGGTTCATTTCAAAACTTGTGTATGATACATATCATATCGAGCTCAAATTATGGGTTTCCAAAGACTTCAAACTTGACAGTTTCTTCTCCAGAAGTTTGAATTTTGTTTGACTTGCGAGATTATATAACTCTTTGGATACGGAGAGAAGAAGACCACGTTGAATTGAATATGCCAGTCAGATCGGCATCACATCAACATCACAGAGGCAAAAGTCTCGGCAGAGTTACGAGGAAAGTTTTGTTAACAAGATTTGAGATATGAGCAGAAGAAGAGAGAGAAGATACATTTTATGCTATTTATTTATTCAACTCATTTTGTTGGTAACAAGTGAGTGAGTGAGTAAGTGAAAAGGATGTGTGCTCCAGATTTGGGATTTTGTGCTCCAAAGCAACTGGAGTGGGTTATGAAGTCAGAATTCTACAGGGACTACGACGTATGTGCTTCTCATCCATGATAAAAATAATGATAAAGGTCGTCGCGTAATCAAAGTAGACCAAATCTGATGAAATGAAACCTTAAACATACAAAATCTCTGACTTTATTTATTTTTGCATAGGCCATGTTACATGTGCTGAATCTTATCGATCTCATCTCCTATCCCTTTGCCATCTTTGTTGGTTCTTCTTGAGAGAAACTATGACGCAAATTTACAACAATAGGAAGAAAGAAAGATGCTGTAACATTAAATTTTGTTACGTGTTCGTATTAATATTTTGAAAAAATTGCAAGTGAATCAATGTCAGATCTTGTTGTTTTTTGTTCCTTGTTTCCCTCTTGGCGTATAACATTGAATAACATTAAACATGCACATGTTAATTTTGAAATGTTGTTTTAATGATGTGCGAGGAAATAAATACTTCACTCAGTTTCGCTCATCTTCATCCACTCCATTTGCATACGATGGCATGACTGAAACCACTTCATTATCTTAAATGTCAATGTTAATTCTGCGAGGTGAGAAGCCTGGTATCAAAATTTTAAGCTATGGATGGAGGAAAATTAGAGAAAATCTTTGCCCTTCTGATCGAAACATGTGTACTTGATCGGGTTAAAAAATTTAAAACCAACAGGAGTTTGAAATCACGGCAAGAAAAATACTTATGCATCGTGTTATGTAAGTTTGAAACTTGTTGCAAACTTTACTACTTGTGTACGTACTCCACCCATCAGCAAAAGTTGGTTTAGCATGCGTATCACCTGAATGAATTAGTTTATCCACCTTCACCGGTCATTAGCTTAATGGAGTGTCGTACGTATTTGCTAAGTTTTACAATTCCCTCTTCATGAACTCTAAGGTACATATGCAATAAATCATTAATTTTTATACGTCAAAATAATAAAATATTTAAGTAAGCAGATGAAAGTAGAATATTCTTCTGATTCGAAACCTTCAAAATCCCCCCAAAAAATACACCAATATTTACAACTTTCCTCCTTTTTTCAAACTAACAATAATTAAAACTTAAAGAAGCCAACTACTAAATGGCTCGTTTAACCTTAATAGCAAACTTGCGTTCCTACACAATTATCAGCTCATCGAAAATCCATCGATTATTTTGCCACTCCTATCGCTGAAAAATGTGGGTGTCAAAATTTTTACACTCAACCATAAAATCATGAGCTAAATGACTTTTATTTCTTGTAAAAATCGAAATTAACTTGAAACCTGTGCGCGAATTAGGGGGGATATTCGTGACACCAACATTAATCCTGTGCATGACTGACTTACATATTCCGAGAAATTAACCAGTTTTGAAAATAAATAAGACGACGGTAGGCGCGATTTAGGCAGCAGATTACAAGCTCAGTAGAAAATTCAGCAGGTAATACATTATTACAGAATGAATATAAAGGAGTTTGCAAAGCCGAAAAGTTTTTGTGAGAGAATGAGAATTGAATGGTTTTATGTAGAAGCTGTTGAATGCGTCGAGTGCTAATAAGTTCCAGTTACCGTTACCTATTAGCTCACTTCTGGCTTGTTCACTTTATTACGGCCAAGTCTTTCCTTAAGAGCGTCGTAAAAGAAGGCATTAGAATAATGAAATACTGTCGGCAAACTCCTTAGGACGCCTCATTTCCAGATCGGCGTGTCATGCAACACTATGTGCAACACATTATGCATGCCGTGATTTGATTTGCATCCTTCACTATTCGCAACTTGGCTTTGTTTGTGAAGGGATGTAAAGCAGACGGACGGACGTAACGTGCAACGGTATGCCACAGGATTTATCTATTTAGCGACACGCGGTTTTGTCTTGATTTCTTTTAAATCGGGTGCAATCCCGTTGGAAAAATGGGATCGAATGGTGCTGTCTTGCTATAATTAGCAAATTAATTCGCAGAATGAGCCTGATCGGTTAAAGATTTCATATTAGAAATCAATATGCATCGACCAAATTGGTTATTAATTCCCAATCTCAAATAGGAAATCGTGTGGTCATTTGTATCATCTTTAAATTGAAATGCTTAAAAATATGTAAAAACTAAGCACTTATTTTTCTCACCTCACCTCCCAAGTGTAAATTGGCAGTTAAAATACAGCAAAATTTGCATATTGGTAATAAACAACCTGTAAAAGTGCAATCACGCTTCGGACGTAACGCTGCTTCTACTGCCTGGATTGAGGTGGCGATAAGTCAAAAGTGTGTCATGAGAGAAAACTACTCTTTTAGCATTTGATAAAGGCAATAAAGCCACCCCTTTTTAACATCGTGTGGAAATTACCAAAGTGCGAGAGGCCTAAATGACTGATCGTGAGTTCGCATGAGTCCCACTGCTTAACAAGAGTACGAAATGATAAGTACGATTATGCCATTATTTTTTGCATGCAGCCAGCCATGCAAATTGAACCATATGCTGACAATCGGGAATGTTTAGCAACAGTTTAATTCAAATTGAATCCAATCCAGCTGTGTGTTTGGCATTGTAGCAACTTCCTCCTTCCCTTCGATATCTTACTTGCTTTTCCTAAAATGAGACCAAACTTTCAATTACGAACAAAACGAACGACATGAAACGGCAGAAAAATACAAAACATTAGGGGTTTTTCAGGTTTATTTATGACGATCGTCGTAATAATACCTTGCTTCCTAAAAGTTAAGATAAGCTAATACGACGACGATCGTTTGGATCCAAGAAATTACACCCAGACACAAAAGGTCGTTGAGGTTGCTGGCTGGACACAGATCTGCATTTTCCTTTGGTTTGCTAGGTCTTTGACATATCTGTCATCAAATATAATGTCATCAGATGTCATCTGATATAAAAATTATAAAGTAATAAATATTCGAATGACTATTTTTTCTCTAATGAGATCTACACAAACATTTCCTTCAAAAGATGAAACACTAAATTTCCAGCAAACAAATAATCCGGTCGAGAAGCAGGGGTAGGTTTGGTAGCAGAAAAATCGAAAAATCTGACACCATCTTTAGCCATGTTCTCTGCAGAGACCTCGTCATATCTCGACATCTTCTCGTTTCGTGTGTTGACGAAATACTGGCGAAGTCCCTGCTGCTTCTTCTCCTTGTTCATTTCTTTCCCAAAGTGCTGCGATACACAAATTAAAGTAAATCTCTTTACGGAAAAACAAAAACTTACAATGCCAAATGCCTCCACTCGCTTCATTAGCACAGCTGACCCCATGACGAGCTCCTCCAACGCCTTTCGCCCGGTGACCTGGTAAACATTACCCAGATTGCAGTCCAGATACGCGCATTCGAAAATGCGGTACCCCTGCTTCTTCAACTTGTTGAGGGTGGATGACTTGCTGGTGATGTGGTATCGATTCGCTCGTCTCATCAGAGAATTCAGACCTAAGTAGATCATGAGCGTTCTGGTTGAATCTCCGATGTGGTCCTTTATAAATTCCTCCACCTCTTTCGTTGTCATGTCCTCCGTCTCCTTCCAATTGACTGCTACGCAGACATAATTCCAGAAATACTTTCTCTTTAGAGACTCATCACTCTTGCTGGCATAATCTATCATGGCGGAGAGGACTGGTTGGGTGATGTTGTGCACTGCGATATTACTGTTGAGATAAATAAAATAAATATGTAACAAGTATATCTATGTCAGTGATAGACCTCCACTTACATGCTGCTGTCGAGGAACCGTTTGTTGGGATCAAGTGACAAGTACGTCAACAAAGTCTGGCTCGGCTGATCTCTAGAAGAGAAGTTGAAAGAGTTAAGTTAATAACATTTAATAATTAGTTATTTATATAACTCACCCTGGTCGATTTCGTGGTCGATTGACCTCTCCAAGAATCCTCTGGTTGTTCCGGAAACGAGACATACGCAGCTTGCTTTGTTCTCTTTGCAGAAAAATAGTTACATACAAAAATTATTTGACACAAAATGGTAAAAAACAAATATGTACCTGATGGCAGCTTCTTTTTCTTCCAATGATCCATATTTGGAGTTTGGTCCTGGTTCGCGATATCGGTATTTTGTATGCTGTTCTCTTTAGAGAAAAATAATTACGTATAAAAATTATTTGACACAAAATGGTAAAAAACAAATATGTACCTGATGGCAGCTTCTTTTTCTTCCAATGATCCATATTTGGAGTTTGGTCCTGGTTCACGACGTCGAGATTTGTTTACCGTCTCTCTGTAGAGAAATAGGTTTCCACATCAGTTAAATTATAAATATACTACATTATTAATAATACTTAGCATACCGTTTAGCAGCCCTGCGATCCTCATCATTTGAATGAAAATTATAAGAAGTGGGCGTCCATGACTTGCTCTTCGCCACCCATGGAATGTGAGGGGTGTTCTTGACGTGTCGGCTTCGATCCTTCGCTAGTCTAGAATACTCCCTGCAACACAATCAAAAACAATTAAAACAATTAAACATATGATAATCTCTTGGGAGAAATGAATCAAAAATACGTCTTTCGAGCAGGAGTCAGCAAGCTCCAGCCAACATCAAAGTAAGACGCCACCATTCGATGTTCAACGTCTTGACGACTTGACCCCTTAATCTCAACAGATCCAGACGACGATGATTCAGCTGGTGTCCTTGATGTTTGAATAAAATCATCGTCCGAACTATAAACAAATAAATGTATTAATATTAGTAGACAATTGTTTATATTTTTCTCTTTCGAGATAGTGTCACTTACTCTTCCAATCCATGATCACTTTTGGTCTCGATCTGGTCATCCACTTCCTCCTCCTCCCCACTACTACATAAAGAATAACTTGACACTATTATCTTCTAGAGATTAACACAATTATTATGATGAAAAGTTTACTGGAAGTCAAAAGATTCATCGTCCTCTTTCTCCTTCACGACGAAATCTTCATCTTCTTCATCTCCCTCGTCATCCGATTCCTCCTTCTCGGAGTCTGACTCTTCAAAGTCACTCTCGATGTCGATAACCTCGACTACCGCAGCAGAAGGCCCACTAATAATATATAATTGACACGATATTCTCACTTTTTCTCTGGTAGAGATTTAAATATAAATATAATTGAAACTGACCTCTCATCCACCACAATTTCATCCACCACAACAGGTGATGGACATGGTTCGGGAGTAATCTCCGTCGACTCACTAAAAATAACAACAATAACAAATAAAAAAAACATTTCACTTTACTCACTTTTTTCTCTTCAGAGATACTAAACTTACCCTTCAGAATCAGAACCCTCGTTAAAAGGAACAACCCGTCTCCACTTTACCACAGGGGGACTGACACTCATGATTCAAAAATTTAAATATTATTTGAGGGGATGTGGTGGAATCGAAACAAATAATTAGCTCCGGCTAAAAATTTTGGGTGTGCACACATGCTTGCTCACGTTGCCTCATACTTGTTCCCTCAGTAGACAGGTTGAAACTTGTCTCGTTTTGTCAGTCATATCATCTTTGTCTCTGAAGAGAAGTAACAACAAATCTCATTTTTCCCTGTCAGCCAAACCCACGTACTATTTCTTAATATCCGAACCAAACAATGCCTTGCTAGGCATGGGACTCATTGTGGGTGAAGCCAACATGGTTGGCTTCATGGGTGAAACAACATTTGTAGCTACTCCGTACTGCAACCAACACCACTAAATTGCTTACACCCACACTTTGTGCAACTCCTCTTGAAATTGGTAGTTAAGCCAGAAAGGAAAACATTTCTCTGTTCTTTTTTAATTTACGTACGTGTGGTACGGTGCCATGCTTTGGATATTAATTGCTTGTTGAGAGCAGAGCAGAGTCAAAAAGTTCTATTTTCCAAACTACTAACTGAACCAGCTTATGCACATATAAGCGTCTGCTTATCTTTTGAACTTGCACTCACTCGTGGCCAATTAAAACGACAAATCAACGACCTTTTCTTTCACTCCTTCATTATTACACAAACATTTCGAAGATATGAATAAGCAAAGGTGGAAATTAAAACACCGTTTTTTATCAAATGTTTCACCACCTTGTTACTCCTTTGATATGACGTTGTTCGCATAAAGGGAGAGGAGATTGGGAACACAAAATATTCTCGTGCAAAAATTCCTCTCTCAGCTCTTGCATGCGTGCGTTTCTTTTCTTGTGCGAATATTAAAATTGCAAGGTTCCACTTATTTATCATCCGTTGAATTTCCTTTCTTTTCTAATTAACATTCCGGAGAGAAGCTTGATTAATAAAATGGAGACCGACATATGACATCACACACATATTTGTACGTATGAAAAGGCTAATGTGCAAAAACACTGGAACTCGATTAAACTAATCTACTCCAAATACGAGGAGGCGTACATTCTACCAGATTGTTGTGTATGTAGCTGCTACTTGCCAAATGTCGTTATTCTTAATGGAAGAACATTCTGATATTGACTCACTTATAAGCACGCATAAATGCAAAAATGCTGCCATATGCTCTCGTACATATGCATGAGTTATAAAATGGCTTAAGCAATTTCCGAGAGGGGTTTCCGCTGTCTTGCGTAAAGTGTATCTATACGGAATCAAAAACGTGTAGTAGTCGTGGTTTTTATGAGGTTTTTATACAAGGAAAGAGCGTCAGGTGGAAATGGAGCATGGTGGAAAAAATTAATTTCTTTTCAGTTCTTAAGGTGAGCAAGGTGAGGTAATTACCTCGTCGGTGTGGCGGTGGTCCGATCATGGAATAAGCACTTTTCTGTAATTCCATTATTGTCATCACACCACACATGTCATCATTAGAGCCCATATTACAAGGTGACATAAAATACTCATGGTTTCGTCTTAATTGGGAGTAACTCTTCTCGTCTGCTCCCTTAATTGGCATTTTATGAACCTTTTTATTGCGTTTTTTGATCTTGGGAGATGACCATCATTATATGGCGATGGTATTTTACGACGAAAGTAAAATGTCTTTTATCCCAATCTGAAATCACTTTCGAATGCATTTGCATAGGTGCATCACAGACGTCAAATGATTGTCGAATCTCACGCACAAATACGCAATGAATAAGCAATTTAACGAGAAAATGTCCTCTTCTCCTTGCAATGAGTCATATTTGTTCGTAACGTAAGCGCATCTTCTCGCAAAGATTTATGTATGCGGTTGAGGAGTCAAGTAAAAAATGATAAACGATGCCACAGTAAATGAATCAATTCAAGTTTGGCCCGTCATTTTGCATAATCAAAAGGTGGAGAATTTTGAATGAGGAGAACCTTTGTTCAAATATAATCGTTCCTTTGGGTGCAGAATGCTCAAAGTACCAAAAATGGCACCGACACTATCTTCACGATATTTACGCTGTACATATCCACCTCCCTTCAGTTTCTGACTAAACAAACTTGTGCTGGGGATGAAACAAACATTTTTTCACGACGACAATGGAATGCTGTTGTGCATGCATATTGTGGTTGGTAACTATTTCTATATACATTTCAGATTTTAGTGCTTGCTTACATAATAATTTACCAGCACCTGTCACACACTCACTCCGCCTTGTCTCAGGTAAGTAAAGAAATGGACGGAGACGTTGTTGTTTTGTGCGTTGAGCATTCAAAACACTTTCCATTCTTTCGTTGAATTGAGAGAGATGATACATTCATGCCTTGACATTTACAAATAATGTGGAGGCAAGGATATTTTTTAGAGGTGTACGCAGCATAGTTGACAACGTCCTACTGCTTATCCGATAGATTTGTTGGGGACGTATGTACAGATATGTGTTATTTATCATGAACTCTGTATTGCTGACATAACTCTGGGTGACTGATGGGTAAATGTAATAATAATTTTGGATTCAAGAATATGAATATTTATGTATATGCTTCACGTCCAAGGTTCATTTTTGATGAGGACGATGCTTTATTAATTTTAGTAGATGGGAAAGTGAAGCGTAATTAAACAGAGGCTGTAAAAAATAACGGCACGATTTTAAAAAGTGATTAAGATTACCAACATAAATTGACCATGCTTAAAGACTCAAACATCTTAATCAATCAGTAAACCACGATAATATTTAGTTCATGAATGCACATGCGTCATAGCGTTTGAACTTTCTCATAAAAGTAGATTTTTTGTGCATAAAAACTCAACTGGGAGAAGATCATAAAACTCAATATCTATCAATTCTCTTTAATTCGACCGATATCAAATTTAACTCATTTTGAGTGCTTGGTTAGCCAGTCCCCAACGCCAAGAAGTGGTAAAACCAAGAAAACGGAAGAGTTTCAAATGAACTAACCGACACGAATTCAGGTTTTTATTCGTCCTTAATTGTTTATTATTGAACTATCAAATCCAATCTGTTGCAAATTGAGGCAAATGTTTTATTACCGAGTTTGTCACAAGCAAAGTTAACCCAAGCCTGGCCGGTTCAACACGCTGCTAACAAATAATGCAAACATGGCTTAATAGCACAAGACGTGCGAGTTAAGGTTATCTGCACAAAAATCAAACTGGTTTCTTGGACTAAGAGAGAGGACGATCGCGTATGTATTGGATCAGGACAATGAATCAAAATTAAAGTTTATCTCTCTAATACGTGCACTTCTTGATTCATGACTTTTCATTGTTAGGCTGTGAGACGAGTCCAAATCTCTTAGCAAACCAGGTTTGTGTACAAAGAGCTTGTTGCACAGTGTCGATTTTTATGGCATGCACGTTTATACATGCAAACTAAGGTACATACGACTGAATGGATAAGAATCTCACTAAACTCTCGTTCTTCATTAACGTTTATGCCATTAGTACACATGCTCTGGAAAATTGACACAAGAATATTTTAATAATGAGTTTCTCATTTGTTGATGATGTCATTTAAGAACAATGTAGAAATCGAAATGGAAAACGTTCATTTTATAGATTCGCATATTATTTTATTGTGCAGATAAGATGTGAAAAGCATGAATATGAATAAGTAAGCAGCAGCTACCCTGGAGGTTGTTAACAGGATGGAACCGTCGTCGTGGTCATGTCAGAGATGTCATAAAACAGGAGAAATCTGACTTTTGACTTTGACTGCGTTTCACTGGGAAAGTGTATCTTGCTATAAATTGAATGTTATAAAGATGCGCACCCCGTGTGAGGCGAGGTGCACTAAACAAATACACAACATCACGATTTACCTCACCTTTCAACCCTCTCGTATGGTTCAGGAATCAAATGCGATTAAATGCATCCATGAACTGGCAGAAACCTCTTTCCTTCATCGGCCAGGTAACATTCATCACTTATTCACTTGCCCGTGGGAAACCTGGAGTTTGCACTGTCACTTCTTTAGTTACGAACGACGGCTAGAATTTGACTTGCACGGCAAGACTGGATGTGCAGTATTATGCATATGATACTACGCTTATATAATTTGCCTTTCATTTAAGAAAAAAGCTCACTTGCAAGAACCTTCTGTCAAGTCAAATATATCAAAATGAGCAGTGATGCGAACCAGGTAAGAAACTTAACACGAGAGACGAAAAGAAAGAGATTTTTAAGTTAAGACGTGAGAAATCCGAGTCTCTTTGTCTCTTGTTGCATCGCATTATTTATAAAACTAATGGGCCATTTTAAAATTACTAGGATTCCAATTCACAACTTTATAGCATGATGACGACGGTCTTTAAGTGGTTGTGGTAATGCTATTAATGTCATTGCTGGAAATTCCGCACTTCCTACAACATTTGGACTGGAAGAGAAGAATGATGTCCCATTGTACTCTCGCTGGAATCAATTGTGAGAAACCTGAAACATTGATAAAGTACGTTGAAAGCAAGCAGACTTCTTGAACCCTTTAGTGCAATGGGTTGATTAGTTGACTCGATAATGGCACAACTTTAACTTTTAGTTTGTTTTGCTTCAATAAATATTTCCACGTCGTTCCTTCGAAGACGAATTTCTCCTATACTTATCTACAATCTACTCGACTTTAGTCCAGTACTGACTGAACACCCGGCGGAATTGTCGACGAGGACATTGCTGGTGCTGATTGTTCGAATTTTGCTTGGTCCAGTGGGTCCACTTTTGTTTATTGAATGTTTCTCCTCCTCCTCCTCCGCAGCATGATGATGATAGTCTTATATTGGCTCTGGTATTGCATTCTGTTATCATCATTGATGATAAAGTAAAGTGTTTACTTCACTCACCCACCAACCACTAGAGATGATGCCACAACTAATATCGTCGTATAAGAAGTTACACAAGACAGAGGAGTAAGAAGAGGACGAGAGTGATGATATAAAACAAAGCAGAGATAGAGCCCGGCTGTCTTGTCCTCCTCTTTCTCTTATCTCTCATCCGGAAACTTGGAATCGAATCCTTCGAGACAAAGTTGAGCCTGAAGTTGAAAATGAATTTAATTAAATTTTCTATCTCTAACACATCTTCGCCAACCTCTTATCATTATTGTTGCTGGATGGGCAGGAGAAGCCTGGAGAGTTGTGGGTTATTGAAACAGGTAGCATTACA